CATAACATATATAAATAGAGTGAATATAAAAATAAAAAAATTATTTTTTATTATATAATTAAAAAAAAAAAACTATTCAAATCCGCAAATGCCAACAATGATCTAAAAAATATATGCCTCTTATATCATACGTACTTTTTCTATTCAAAAGAAAGAAAAACAATGACTTTATATATATATATATATATATATAGTTGTATTTGAATTTCTGAGTGAAGTAAATAAGGGAATAGGAGGTTATTATGTTGCAGTAAAAAAAATCTAAAAAAACAACAGTAATGTTAAGTCGCCATCTTCCTTGGGTGAATTTGAATTGTGCAAGCAAGCAGTAAATTTTGGACTTTGTAAATTGAGGATCATGTGGATAAATATAAGTGTGACAAGTGTGATGGGAAGTCATTTAATAGGATAATTAAGGCAGCGTTTGGACCATGCACACTGGAGCTGGCAATGATCAAAGGAGTATTTAAGGTGAGGTGTCCCCAATGTCCTTTACCCGACCAATCCCAATCTTGGATCCAAATGCCAAAACCCTTACCTTCCTCACCACACACAAACATTTAAGTTTTCTATTTTAGATTTCTTTCCATGGGACCCTTATTTTTGTCCTTTTTCATGCTCTAAAATCACTCAAAATGTCCTCCCAAAAGGCATAGAGCCCCACCTCAATTACTCCTCTCATCCCTTCATCAAATGACCAAACAATCCCCTAACATATATATATCACTTTGTCCATTGCAAGCAAGTTCTTCAATGGAAGTTGCTTGGGTCACAATCACAATTATAAAGTGTCCACCTTTCTTGGCAGAGTAAATTTGCAAGACTTTGGGCCTCTTGAGTAGCCAGTAAATTTAATCCAGAGACCCACTTCTTTCACATTAATGTTAGGATTTTTATTAAAAAAAGTTGCCATTTTGTGTATTTTTCTTGCCTTAATTTCATATAATATTTGATAAATTTATATATTTGTATGGTCTTATAATACACTAATTAATTTCATTCAAATGATCTTAATATGTTATTAACTTTGTTTAATGATCATTTAATAAGACCTCTTCAATTGTGAATGACTATGTTTTTCTCAAATTCCTCTCCATCATCTCAAGATTAGGAACTTGAGATTTTGATTAACATAAAATCTTTTTTTTTTTTTTTGAGGAAAACATAAAATCTTTAATTTTTAACCACTACAAATTTCCTAAAAGACATATATAGTTGTTTGCTTCCTTGCCTACTAATATGTCATCTATGTGCTAATTAATTAGAAGAGCTATACGAAAACTTAATTATTTAATACAATTATTAACTTTAAAAGCTTGGTATAACAGCTAATAATTACGCACATATAAGTGAATGTTGAATCTCATCCTATTAACTTATCTCTTTTTATCACATACTAGTAATTAAGAGTTAAAGACCTCTATGGTACGTAGTACCCCCAATAATATTGTGTTATTGGTATTTGCAGTCATTACTTATTGCCTTTCAATAGACCAAAAGAAACCAATAATTACTGGATGAGTAAATGAGTTCCAGTCCACCCTCTCTCCTCATGCACTCAGTAAATGAGATCCATATGCACTATCTTCATGTCGGGTAAAAGAGTAGAAACTATCCGTCAACACGGTACGGAGGTAGACACTAATGCATGCACTCTTAGTCTCATTGCAAGCTGTAGCCAATATCAACAAATGCCGATTGATTTTATTGCCTTGTAATTACTGCTTAGGGTATGGGAGTGGCCAGAGTCAAGGCTGCTGAATCCAATCGTCAAAAGCAAAAAGCATCCAATTTACTCAACCGAGCTAGCTATATAGCTAGGTTGGTCCCAAACCAAGACCCTGTTGATCCAAAATCACACTCTATTAGGAAATTATGAAACCTTCTGGTAGTGTCAATGGCACATTAATTTGGAACCTTGGCATAGTACATAGCTAAGGCCGTGGACGAAAACCAATTAATTAATTACTCATTTTGTCCTAAAATAATCTTTTTTATTATTTTTTAAAATTATAGATTTGAAAATAATATTTGTATTTATTTATAATATTTTTTTAAAAATAAAATATAAAAAATTATTTTTTTATGATTGAAGAATTAAGTAAAGTAAATAAATAATGATATTATTAAGATTTACCTTGAATATGAGCCAATAAAATTTACCTCGAAAAATAAAAAAGTAACAATTATTTCAAACAAATTTAAAGTAAAAAAATAATAATTATTTTAAAATAAAAAAATAAATAGATGTTTTGTTTAACAACACTTTTCAATGCCTTACATTTGGTTTTTATGTTTTTTTTACTATTTAAAAAATATATAAAATAATCAACAATCTAAATAATTCAGTGGTTATCTCTTTCCGTTGAAAATAAAAGATTCTATCCGTTGAAAATAAGAAATTCTGAGTTTGAGTTGCATGGTATAAGAATGAGATGAGATAAGAGATGAGAGATGAGAGATGATTACATCTCATTGTGTAATTAAGATAAAATATATAAATAATGTTAATTAAAATAAATATTAAATATATAAAATATATTTTATATACTTTTTAAATGATAAAAGATTAAAAATACCTGGGTCTCACGGCCCAACGACCATAGGTCGGCTTGTAAGATGCATCTCTCAACTCGAAGGCTGAGTTCGATTCTCTTTTCCCCCATAATTGTAACTTTGTTCAAAAAAAAAAAAATGATAAAAGATTAACAAATCTACAACCGTTGTTACATGTCAATGTCATCTCAGTGAGAGTTTAGTGTAAGACAATTTTCTCATATTTAGGCTCATTTTTTTCCCCAGCTTTTTGAAGCTAACGGGTAGGATTTGTTTAATTGATGAGGTAAGACAAGTTTGTCATGCTTGACCTCTATTTCAAGGAGAAATTGCATTTACTTTCTCCGTTTTTTGGGGTTACATAAGTACATTACTTAATATTGGCAAATCACCAAAAAAAAAAAGAAAGTGTATTCTCCTCATGTGGTTTGAAAAAAATGCACATGCACTTAATCATTTTTCAAAAAATTAAATTTTGAGAAATAGCTTTGGATAGAATAAGAGAAAAGAAACAAATAAAATAAAAAGGACACTTTTTATTTGTTCTTACTTGGGGTTAAGTACATCTTTTTGAAAACAAATGAGGGTTAAGTGTGGATTTTTGTTATTTGGAGGTTAAATGTACTTATCCCAAAATACAATAGAGTAAGAGCAATTTACCATTTTTTACTATTTTTGTGGCTATGCCTCGACACTTCACCCCTACCAATCAAGAACCATTTTATATTCCCTGTTAAGAATCTAGATCACAATCCTAAATGGTAATACAGCACCATGCTAATTGTTAGATTCACAGAAAGTGTGATCCATTTATTGCAAAAGGTACCATTCATTCACTTCCACAGAATTGTGAGATTTACCGATCACAACTTCCAAATACCCCCAGTCTTCTCCGAATATAAAAAAAAAAAAAAAACCCTATGCAGTTAAGTAATAGAACCTGACAAAGGTGAAAACACTCAGCATCAACATGAGAAATGTGATGGTAGAAAAGGAGAAATTAGACTTGCTAAGCATGAAAGTTTGGATCTAACCTTCTTGTAGGGACAGTCACTAGGCTACGATTAGGACAGAGTGTGAAACAATTATAAAATATTTTCAGAAGATAAAAGGAAAAACAATCTGATTGGTTCCAATCGACCCAAAATTAGAGGTTCCAATTTTGCAAAGCTGAGGCTCATAATTGGCTCGCCTTAGTCCGAACCAGCTTCCTCGATTTCCTTCAGGCTTTCACTAGATCAGTTTTCAAACTGGACCAGCCTCAAGCTGGTTCAATCTAGCTCAACAATAGCCCTGGGATAACTATGGTTGACCCTGATCCAACCTTAGATAACCAGTTTCCATGACCGTTAACCAAGCCCTTTTTTTTTTTTTTTTTTTT